GGTTTCGCAGATCATCACGTTGCTGAACTCGCTTTCGCCTCCCTCGTTGAAGCATTGCATCTTGATGTCGTAGGAGGTCTCTGGCTGCAGGTGGCTGATGGAGTGCCAGTACCGGTCTCCTGAGGGGGAAGAGACACCCGGTGCCGTCAGCTTCCCCCGGGAAGGCGCAGCCGGCCCAGCCCCGCAGCAGCGCGAGGCAAAGCGGGTCTGCACAGCGGCCTTCGCGCACAGGGCTCCTTCCGGCCGTGCACTCTCCCAGGATGAACCAGCAGCTGGGACAAGTCTCCCGCATCTCCTACCTTCCACCACGTCCTTCTTGTAGTCGCTGTCATTGTCGCTGTCGGTGGGGCAGATGTAAAAGCCATGGATGGGAGTGTTGTTGTTGCTGGCTGGGATGTACTGCAGGGAACGGGAGAGCAGAAATTAGCAGAGGTGTCCGTGCTCCCTACAGTGGGTGAGGAGCAGGGGGGATAAATGGGATGGGATCTTCCTCGTCTTGCCACCAGTTTGCACGCTAAGGGCTCCCTTCCAGGAGCTCAGTGCTACTTTAGATTCCCACACCTTCCTTCTCGCAGGACACAGGCAAGGCATGGGTCTGGCCCTGTCACCCCAGGCATCCAGTGTTCTGCTTCCCCTCGGCAGCCAACGCTCCGGAGAAAAAATTCCCCAAGAACTGTGGCTCGGCTGGGCAAGGACAGGCCCACCTTCACCTCGACTCCCGTTCTGCCAGGAAGCAGTGACTGCAGGAGCCTGGTGTTTCCGAAGCCAGCTCCATTCCTCCCCCACCCAGGGCAGTACCGTCCCAGCTCCGTGTGTTCCCGCTGCGTATTCCACCCGGTATCTTGCCAGCTACTGTTTGGCACAGCAGGAACAGTGGTGCCCATCCTGCCCTGTAGCAACTTCTGGCTAGAAGCAGCCAGGAGGGAAGACGGCCACCTGTCCCTCTGATGGAGCTGTTGGAAACACTTGGATCTGGGCTTGCGATCCTGCCCACTCCTGACAACGCTCGGGGCGGCTGCTGTAGGTGACCAGCAGCACCCGGGGCTGCTACCCAGCCCATGAGGGCCAAGGACTCATCTGCTGGAAACCACTGGGGCAGGGAGAGGTGCTGACAGGCTCCAGGAATTTGGGCAGGAGAGCGGGCAGCCGCCCCGTGCGCTGCTGAACACGACGGCCGACACCCCGAGGTCACCCACTGAAATCCCTCCTGCCCACAGTGTCGGATTCAGAGGAAAAGGGTTTCCTAGGCTCTCTGATTTCCCCCACTTCCCTGTGGCCCAAGCCCAGCCCTCCTCTGCTGGAAGGAGCTGTCGGATCCCGCATCCATTCGTGGTGGCGTGGTAACCCGGACACTGTGTGTAAGGTGGGCGAGCAGCACCCACGCGCCCGCTTCTTGCCCGCCCCAGGGGTCTGCGCCCCGACGGCCCTCACCATCCACTTCAGCATGATGGTGGTCTCGTTGATGGCGTCCGTGAAGGTGATGTACGGCCCGGCCACAGGCCGCTCGTAGGCTCGGTTGCTGTACCCCGACACCACGTAGGGCCGAGACGCCGCACTGGGCTCGCTCTCTCCCAGGATGTTCAGTGCCCGGACACGGAATTTATAGGATGTGCCTAAGGGAAAAATGGGAAATAGAGTTGCGGTCTTCCAAGAGTTCTGCGGTCAGCGCAGGGCGGGCTGAGGAGAGGGGCTGCACCCTCTTCAGAAGGCAGAGAGCCTACGGAGAGGTTTTGATCCAAGTGTAACACTGCCTGGCCAGGTTTCAGCCAGGTGCTAGGCGGAGTCTGCTTTTATTTGCTGTCCCCAATTCCTGTCCAGATGGTTCAGAGGTCAGCTAGCAGTTGCGGAAGGTGGGTGGGTGGATTCAGAGATGTCTGACCCTAGGGCAGGTAGGGGAAGGCGCCCTTCCCCTGCTGCGTGGAAGTTACGTACAGGAACATCAGTAAAAAGCTCAGAGCCTGAACCATTTCTACCTAAACGTCGTTTTGCTGGCATTTAACTCAGGGTAGGCACAACACCCGCTGAAGCTGTCCACTGATGCCGCCTTTCCCCACGTGAAGCTCCACAGGAATTGCATGCCCATCTGTCTTGCCCATGGCTACGGGGAGTTCCGTCCTGCCTAGTAAATGGCAAAACCACCTGCCTTCGGTAACGACATCCTGTGATCCAGAAAAGCCTCCGTGAGCCTCCCCGGGGGAGGTCAGACCTACGCTGGTCTTGGCAGCTGGAGAAACTGGAGACGCAGCTTTTCCCTACGTCTCTGAGGCCGGAGCGGCTTTGTCAGCCAGGGCGGAGCGCACCGTGACGGGGGCTAACCAGCCTGCCGGGACTGCACAGCTTTCCTACGGACCTCCCGGAAGCAGGGAGCAGAACATCTGCCTACCTTTCTCCAGGCCTGGGATTTCCACAGAGAGGCGAGAGGGAGGAATGTCACTGGTGGCCAGGACCCAGTCTCCCAGTTTCTTCAGTTTCTTATATTCCACACGGAAAGACTGGATGGGGAACCCGCCATTCCCGCGGGGAATCCAGGTCACGTACACAGATGTCTCTGATGCCATGGAGATGGTTGGACGATCCGGTGCCTCTGGAGCTGCGAGGGACACAGGAGGATGTCAGGATGCACTAGAGCAAAAGGCCTGACTGACATGGAAGCAGCGGGCAGGGGGAGACGAAAACAGGAGAGATTGGGAACAACTAGCTGAGGAGGAAAGGGGGAAAACTTCTGGGCTGTAGAAATGTAATTGGAGAGGAAAACTGTCAAAAGGTGGGAG